ATTCTACTCTCATTTATATCTACCATTCTCTACGTTTATTTCCATTGATAACTTAATGAACTCTCACTTAACGTTAATCTTATTCGCCATTTATCTCAGATCCTATAAGTGGACCTCTTTGTACTCTACGTGATAGTGGACTAAGCGATTACCACACCGGCGATGAAGATGATGAATCAGCTTCCAGCTGGTGTAAGTCGCGTAGGAAATCTTCAGGACCGCCACAACCACACTCCCCCAGATATTCATCCATTTTGGCTGATCATGGGAAATCAACTTCCGGCCCAAATGGCTTAGGATTATCTGACTGCCCACGCACATCTGTCCGCAATCTGGCCACCAAATTTCTTCATATCGGTCAACTAGAGGAGAAAAACGCTGCACAGGCACAACGAAGGTTAGTATTTGCTTTATTCATTTATTTTTATTTGCTTCCTATACACCTATAATCCAAGTAACTTTTATTAACAGATATGTCTGCTTATTCGATTTTCTTATCGACATATTCATTCTAAAGTTTTTTTGAGATTGGTTATCCTTATTATCTTTATTACTCAATTCATGCATAGGCAATATAATTTTTATTAATTAGGATTTTTAAAGTTTGCTTTGACCTCTTTTTCGCAACTTGGTCGATGTGTCAGAATCGCACCATTGACTTGGTGCATTTCTAGACGTTTCGCATGCATAGTCATTGAGAAGCGCTATTGTTAGCACAGAGTTACAACTTATCAAAGTGACAAGTGAAGACAATCCCCTTAACCAATTCTCTGTTCAACCGCTGTCGCATCAATCCTTGCTCCTATTCCTTGTCCCATCTAGTGTTGCATCTCATTCTCTTAGCTCCACTTTATGCCTCTTATTTACCTATTCACACCATTCAGTGCTTTCCTCTCCAATCTCGCCAAAGAGTGTGTCGCGATAAATGGATTTATTAACACAAAATCACTTTCACCACCGGTTTCAGATGACGTTTGAAGGCCATCTGGATCATGGCCTCTGGGAATGTACCGAGTAAATAGTTCGATACTGGAAATCATGAATACTGTGACAGAGGACGCAACATTAGGTACGTTCCACAAGATCTCTTTGTTGAGCCGACCAAGATTTGAAAACGAGGTCAAACTGACTCTACAAAGCTAAATGAGTCTGCCATCAAACAGGCCACACCATCTTGGTCTTCATATCTATGATCGGATTTTTAAAGTTCTCTTCAATGGCAACTGTCCTGACATTATTTTGCTTCTCAATATGGCAAGTCTCTATGTGCATTTTTTAATGCCAAGGAGGTATTTTAATCCAGCCTGCTTATAGTAGCAGATATTGTTTTTTATTTTGAACAAAAAGCTTTTGATTTTAGCCATCAATTAAAAGATAATTTTAACATATGCAAATATTTGCCTCATTCTGGATTAAATTTATAAGCTTAACCTTATGTAATGTTTTTACCTCCAATCGGTAATATCTACTTGATTGTAGGTCTATAACTATAGCGCAGCTAACTGGATCTGCCACAGGTCTGGTCTGATTTTGAGGCAACCGCTGTCACTGTTCCTGAGTTCCACTCGGAATACTATCTATGCATATACCTACAATTCCCTTCACAATACGGAATTAAGGTCTCTATGACAATGTTATCTAAGGTGTTCATCAAAATCTGCTTTTTATTTGTCTAAAAAATTTTCATACGAAGACTATTCAGAAGAGGATAGGCGAGCAGAGAACTGTTCTAGTATTTAAACATACAGTCATGTCTTCTTCATTAGAATATAGGAGAAATAATAAATAGTCGGTACGAGGAGTAACTCGATTTTGGTGATTGTTGTAGGATAATATTTCTGGGAAGGCTTTATTTCGTACGAAATTGCATGATGAAGAGAACCGAAGGTACTGCAGCCATTTGGCTGAAATGACGTTCAGGTTGACATCCCACGATATATCCTCACTCGTTTCGAGGAAAAACGGGTTGTGATTTCGTCCATCATATGATGGACATCATCAAGGCTGGAACTCATCTTGTAGCCGGATCTCGATAATGGATCATATTTCTCTAAAAGTTTTCATAACCGATGAAAAAGTCAGGGTTTTTTTGAACGCTGTTTTTACCCCTCACTTCCTCACTAGTTCGCCTATCTGTTTAGGTATAAGGCATGACGGAAAAACTAGGACATGAGAAAAGGTATCGGCTTGTCTGTCTTTGACTAAATAGTTTGTCTGAAAACGTATTCCTCGGTAAACATATATTACTAT